TCCCTGCCCGCCCCCCCATCTCCGGAGGGGGTCACCCATCTTGCTCGCTCCCCTCTGCTTTCAGGGGGGCCCGCCCGCTCCCGGCATGGCTGGCTACAAGTTCTTACCGCTTGAGATGCCTGCCTCCCCGACACCTGCCTCGGAGCCCCAGTGGGTCCCCCTCTCCCCGTGACAGCCCCAGCGGTCACCAGACAGAGACCCTGCCCCCACACACCCAGGACATCCCAGTGGCCGGCACGATGGGGCGTGTCTCCCGTCCTCGGCTGGCAACTTGCCTTAAAAAAGATTTTGCTTTCTGCGGGGGTTCTCAAAGACCTCCCTGTGGGATATCCCCGCACCCCCAGCTGGCCAAGAAGGTGGGGGCAGTGTGGGTGGGGCCCAGGCTGCGACCCTGAGATGCACGCCCAGTGAGGGGTGGGGCCCTGTCCCGTGCACCTGCCACTGGGCAGGCCGGCCAAGGAGGGGCTGGCAAAGCCCCACTCGGGAGTCACCCCTTCCTGGGCCTGCTCAGAGCGGGGCTGGGCGTCCAGGATCCCAGGCCGCAGGTGGTTCCTGCACTGGGGGCTTGAGCGGTCCCGGCCCAGGAGGGCACCCTCAGCATCCAGGGGCCCGGCGCCCGGGGAGGGAAGGCCGGTGAAGAGCTGGGAGGACCAGCCCGGGTCTGCTGACGCCCCGCTGCCCCCGCACACCCCGCAGGACCATCTACAGGACTGCCTACCGTCGCAGCCCCGGGCCGGCCTCCACCAGGCCTCGCTACGCTTGCTGCCCCGGCTGGAAGAGGACCAGTGGACTCCCCAGGGCCTGTGGAGCAGGTGAGAGGTGCAGGGCCGCCCCAGGGGCCCCACAGCACCCAGTCGGCCAGTCAGCCGACTGCTCCTGCGGCCTGGTCATGCCACACCCCATCCCCCTTTCCAGACCCCGGGCAGAGCACCCGCTGCTTTCGCCTGAGTGGAGCGCCTCCTTGCTGCACGGCGCCCCTTCCCCGGCTGCAGGGCCCTGGGGCCCCGCCTCGGTCCGTGACAGGCCTCTCCCTCAACAGCAGTATGCCAGCCCCCGTGCCAGAACGGAGGGAGCTGTGTCCGGCCCGGTCACTGTCACTGCCCTCCAGGATGGCAGGGTGACACCTGCCAGACAGGTGAGGCTGGCTCCCGTCCCTCCGGAGGGGAAGGGTCCTGTGGACGCCACCCTGGGTGTCCCGGGTGGCCTGCCGACTGGCGGGTGTTAAGGGGGCTCAGCGTGGGTGCCCCTCCCTGCCCACACCCCTCTTCCCGCAGACGTGGACGAATGCAGTACCGGACGGGGCCCCTGCCCCCAGCACTGCATCAACACCGCGGGCAGTTATTCGTGCCGGTGTCAGGAGGGGCACAGCCCGTCCGCAGATGGTGCACTCTGCCTGCCCGAGAGAGGGACCCCCCGGCTAGCCCCGAACCCCACAACAGGTAAGCTTCCCCCTTGCCCCTGCCCACGTCCTTGCGGCTGTGCTGGGAGGTGGGACAGGGAGGGCCCGAGAGGGGGCTGGGCGTCGCCCTGCCGATCCGTGCCCGCCACCGTGGGGGCAGCCAGCCCCGGGCGGCAGGCCATCTCCCTGACCCCGGGCAGAAGTGGGGGTCTTCCCCAGGGGAAAGGCGGGTGGCCGTCCCCCCGGCGCATCACGGGACGGGTTGCCGAGAGGGGGCCTCATCTCAGCCGAGAGAGTGGAAGAAGGCCCCCACCCCGCGTCTTCTCCGCGGCCCCTGCCCGGGCAGCCGGGAGAAGCCACACCTCCGCTGCCGACGGGACATTATTACTTTTGGTACGCGCTGTGACACTTCAAACTCGTACCGTGAGTAATAATGCGCTGTCGGCAGCCTGGCACCAGGAGCGCAGTGTGGACCTCGGCTCGGACCACTCAGCACCGCGGGGCCCCTGGCACAGCGTGGGGGCCGGGGCGGGGGGCACCGAGGTGTGCGGAGGTGGTCTGCGGGCCTGCCTGGGCGCCTGCCGTAGGGGTGGGCTCGCGACGGCAGCTGGGTCTGTGACCGCTGGGGCTTGAGCCCCCGTCTCCAGACCCGTGCCCCACACTCGGCGGAGGCCGGGAGGTCTCCCGGGGGAGGTGAGGAGCCAGCCTGGGGTGTGGGGCTGGGCCTGCCCGACTCAGCACCGGGATCTCCCCAGGAACAGACGGCACAGTCGAGGAGGAGGTGCAGAGGCTTCGGTCAAGGGTGGACGTGCTGGAACAGGTGAGGCCTGGGCCGGGACCCCCCTCCCCCCCCGTTGTCTCCCGTCACGTAGCTCAGACCCTCAGAGTGGTTGCGGGGTTCGGTGGAGGTGGTCCCGGGAAGGAGGCCTCCTGGGTACTGACGGCCGGGGCCTGGCAGGGGCAGCGGGCTGATGCCTGGGAGCCCCAGGGGAGGAGGGACCAAGCTTGGCCATGCCCCCTCAGGCGGGCGGAGGGCCCGAGCCCAGGTCCACCCCTACCCTCGTCCCTGCCGTCTTTCCATGGGCCCGTTGGCTCGATGACCCCTGGAAAGCTCTGGTCCACCCCTCCTAGATCCCCTGACCCGGGACCCTGGGCCTTGGGGACCGTCACTGGACTGGCCCATGTGGTGTCCCCCTGTGGCCCCCTGTCTGGCCCTCCTGGCCCAGAAGCTCCCTCGGGTGAATACCCAGGGCCCTGCAGAGCTGGGTGTGGGCGTCGGCAGGCCTTACTGGCCAGTGCTCCCTAACAGCTGCGGAGCAGAGAGGGAACCTTCTGCCTGCCCCACAGAAGCTGCAGCTGGTGCTGGCCCCGCTGCATAGCCTGGCCTCGAGGGCCCTGGAGCACGGGCTCCCCGACCCCGGAAGCCTCCTGGCTCACTCCTTCCAGCAGCTGGACCGCATCGACTCTCTGAGTGAGCAGATCTCCTTCCTGGAGGAGCAGCTGGGGTCCTGTGAGTGCTGGGGTCCCGGTGCCCACCTCCCCACCCACGGAGCTCCCTGGGAGCCTGAGGGCTCTGGGGGCTGGGGCCAGAGGGCGGGGTGGGGCAGCCCTGCCCGGGGTGGGGGTGGGGGGGAGGTGGTGGGGGGCACTGACCTCTGACCTCAGCCCTTCACCCGCCCACAGGTTCCTGCAAGAAGGAGCTGTGACGGGTTCCCAGCTCTGGCTCCTGAGAGCCGGTCACCATGGTGCTGGGTGGGGCGGGATTCGTTCCTCCTAGGTATGAATCCAGCCTCCGCCTGGCCGGCACCTCTGCACCCCCACCAGCGGGCCCATGGCGGAGGGAAGGTACGAGGGTCTTTGTCG